ACGCGTACGAACGTAACGCAAAATTTGGTTTCCCCTTACTACTTTTCTACTCCGCATTCTGCCGATATGACAGTTCAAATAGGCGCACGTTCTATTACCTTACCACGTGCAACTATGGAACACAGTTCGGCACGCGCTCTACGTAATTTGCACGTTTTATAAGTTAATAAAAATTATGCACTTGCGTTTCTAAATTTCTCTCAATAAACTTGCTTTTGAGGAACATTTTCGTGTCAGTTTGTAATGCCTCCACTTGCTTCTCGCTTGGCCATGTGCAACTCTAACGCAGAGTTCCACACGTTTCTCAATAGCAATAAAATAATCCATGGCCAAAATCAGCATCTGATTTGATAATGCCACAGTATTTTCGCTCTAATGGAAACACATAATGACAGTGCTTATGTCTCTAATGCAAATGATTTCTACGCGTTAACACATAGTAAACTAAATCGATCTAAAATCTCTACTACACTTTACAAAGTTTAGTTTCATAATTCTGCGATATCGAATAAACAAATCGGAAGAAGTGGCTCAGGGCATCAACTGGTTTCACTGCAGTGCCTATGATCGGGATGTTCTAGCTTCGAGTTCCGACGGCGGCAGGATTTTCGACACAAACTAGATAACTAGGTCGTATTCAATCGCTATCTGGAGGAGAATTCTAGCGTCAGGCTGCTCTGATCCGTAGATTTACGTGGTTTCTGCGATCAGGCGAATGTCGGAGCAGTTCCTTAAAAAACGGACCACGGACCGCACGCGATCTTTCCTTCCTCTTCCTTGTCCTATCATTCGTGTCGAATTCGACCACGGCACCGAACGTAGAGCTCTCCCTCTCCCTGCCTAGCGAACTCCCTCCACCGCACGCTGAATTCGACCGCCATTTCGCCTCTGATCAAGGGGTAAGAATTTCGCCAGATACGAAATATTGAAAAAATAGTACAGTACACTGCAGTAATTTTGCTCGTTGATTAATACTTACCTTGTGACGATTACAAATGCATTATTTCGAATCGTTTCATTAGCGTGAAATGGGTTCATGCTGTGATAATATACTGGCTACAGCCTCTCAATACATAATAGTTTTCAAATTAACATTAATCTAAATTCGTGTTATATAAGCTATACATACTCGTACCTTCAGAAACAATTTCATGAATTTTTAAATGCGAGGGAAGCACATTAAATGGCAGGGATTAAGGAAACTGGACACTTTGGTAAGTCACCTTTCTATCATTAGTGATATCAATGCCAGACACCGAGAGAAGCAAAGTTTTACTTATAAGTAGATATTAAATAGTTGTTTATCTGTATGTGGATTTCTTAAACATTATTTTATTTTACGTATATCTAGCATGTGCGGTAACCAAGTACAGAGATAATTATGTAATGCTGCAAATAACCGGTGTCGAGATTTTAATTTCAAGGCATGTTTTGGGGGGGGGTCCACGGAACTTTTTTCACGTCTGTTTTTCCGACAATAAACACAAGCTAACACCAGAAACTTACGTAAGATATACAAAAATAATATAATTATAATTATTTTTCTAATTCATGACTAAAGATGTTCAGAAAGTCTACTCCGGGTGGCCAACGCTTTCTAAGCAGCAGATCTAGGGACTACCGGTGCGTTTACAATACTTAGTGCAGAATGTGCTCCCAATAAAGCAATGTGTTGCACTTCCCAGAAGACATGTTTTTTTTCTCCAAATCCCAGATAACAATATTGTGTTTGCCGCTCTCATGCGATCAGTTTGAACTTGCAGTTTAAAATTCTACAGTCCAACAGACGTCCTCTGTTTTGGTGTGTGAGTACCACTTGGAATATGGCATGTGTTTGGAACTTCAGGGCGCTAAAGATCTACCAGTGGATGCCACACTTTATCATGTTTATTCAAATATTCGGCCTTTGCTAAAATTTGACAAGATGAGACGATATGATTAATGGTTTTTACTTGTCCCTGGCAAATGCAGCATTTATTATTTTGGGATTTTTTTAGTATCGCTCTGTCATAATCACGTGCGTGTTCTCAAAGCCTGTTCTTAGGCGGCTGTAAGTACTGCTTCCGATTGTGGTCTCATTCTTCCCCTTTTGAGCTACAAAAATTATTGAACATTACTGATCTGCAGCTTATCCATCCTTTTTTCAAATAGCCCCTGGAATGGCTTGTCTTTCCACAATTTCTTTAACTTTTTTGTCTCACATTTGATATAGGTAGCATCAGAAGTAAAGTGTGTGTTATTCTGCATGTCTTGCAAAGACTTCCTCGCAATGCTTTTCGCTACACTTAATTTGCCTGTTTGCCAATCGTGGGTCAGATATAATAGTATTAGATGAGTAGATCACCTTAATGACTGACTACATTCTTTCCATCCCGATTATTGCATTGTTCCTGGCGGCTTCAATTTGTCACAAGCCTCTTCCTTCTTCCTTCCATGACACAAAGTTTACGTACATCACTTCTAGAGTGGGTGACATGATACAAGTAGTAAGTAGTTTTCTTGTTCGATCCACGATTCAAATTTATTGCTCAGTTCAGTCCACTAGTTCGAAACTCTACTCGGCTAGACACTGCCAAACTCCTTATTGCAGATATTTTATTCCTTGAGTTCAGAGCGGACTGCATAACAAGTCTTACTTCTGTAATACTCCCTGCGGATTCTCTTTTTCATTGTGTCGTTCGAAATGTTCTCCACTGTCTAGGTATTTGTAAGTTTCACCTGGCTCAAGATCTTGAATCACAGCATGTTTATCCACTTCAATGCTCTCTGACGCTATCACTTTGTCTCTTTTCAAATTAACCTTTGTACATTTGTCAATACCAAATTTCATGTCAATGTCTTTTTTCTAAAATCATTGACGAAAGGTAGCATTTGGGAGATAATCGCTTCATTCATAGCAAATACTTTAAGATCATTAATATAAAACAAATGTGATATTGGCCTTTTATCTCTAGTGAGATTGAAATCTAATACAGAATGGGACAAATGAATAGATAGTGGAATCAGACTAATACAAAAAAGCAGAAGGGAAAGCGAATCTCCTAGAAAAAATTTCCGTTAATTTTAATACTTCTTGTTTCTACTACTTCCTTTCCGCTGTATATTAGTGACCTAGCATTCCGCGACTTCATACTAGCCTTTTCAAAACTAAACTCTAGGATGAAATCGATATTTCTCCAGTGTTATCAAAATCCAATCGTGTTGTACACTCTCTAAGACCTTCTGGTAGTAAATTCAAGCCATGTTTAAATTACGTTTTCGTTTCCATAAATCATTCAAGATGACTTTATTTACGATCAAGACTTCCTTAGAGCCGTTAGGAACCTTTACAACATTATTTCTGTTCAACTGGTAACATTTGGTTTTTAATTAGGTATCTCTCTATTTTGTCAGCTATGGCTGCAGTTATAACTTTGTACATTACTGGCAGACAGCGTTTGGTTTGTAGTTCTCAGTCAAGGAACTGTGTTCCCTTTAGGTAACAGATTTGTGATGCCGCATGTGAACCATTCCGGGAGTTCCTTTCTAAAATTCTATTCACATCCTTTGCTAGATGAGAATGTAATGCAATTCTGTAAGAATACAAGATAAAATAAGACTGTAATGTAATTCAGGATCTCATCAATCCCGAGGGATTTTCAGTTTCACCGTTCTCAATTGTTTGGTAAACATCTCCTTCCGAGAATTCGTGAATATGATACACTGTTTCCACAAGTTTATCGGCAGCACGAACTTCAGATTGGAGCCAAGATACCTATTTTTGTAGGATTTGCTTTCTTCTCAAATTCCTGATCAACATGCATGATTCGACGTCATCTGTTGCAAAGAGGGGCAACATTGCCCTTCGGTTTTGGGTTCCGAGTGCGATAGAAACTCTTCGCGTCCGTTTCAAGCAACTGATTCTCTACTCTGTTACCTACTCTACGTTTGTAACGTCTAATGCGTTGAGCCCCTGCTTGGATTTTCTTTTAGCTTCTCAACTTCCATTAACCTTGTGTAATTTTTACTTTAGTATTTTTGTTTAACATAGAGTATTTTTCATTGAACTTAGAGGCGCGCGTTCGTTCAGAAGATGCCTCAGTTAAGACTGATATATCGCGCTTTGTCAACTATCTGTTTCATAATTCTTTTCGTGCATAGACGGAACTGATTCACTCTGGCTGTATTCTTGCCTGTCACCAAAATTATCTGAGATATCAGAGATCCAGTTGCATATACGATGTGATTGATTTCGATAATATTCAGATCTCTACCCGGGTTTGTACCTCTCATTTTAGACAAAGCGGTTTCTAATACTCTCTTAGCTCTAGCATTTTCGTATACTGTCAAAGGGGCAAGATATTCGAATGAAAGTAGACGAACTCCTATCTCGCAACGAAGGAGTTTCGCATTATGTCTACATTGTGTGATTCAAAGCCAGATGAATTTTCACCACCGATTTGCTGCCATTCAGGAAAATATGGAGTATGAATTCTGTGAATTTTCCATTGTTGAGTATGTATCGTCGTTGACTAGCAAACTTTTTTAAATCTAGGGTCTCTCTCTATCTTGAATTTCTCTTCTATTTCCGAGTCATTTTTTATTTTTGCATAGTAAAAGCACATCACCACCTTCAATTCATCCTGTATCCATCTCTGATGATGACTTCAAGCTACTGCTGACTGTATCCCCGAGACTAACATCCGTGCGATGGCCAGATGTGCGAGACATTAGTACATCGATTTCTGAACATGTATGGAACACTGGTAGAATAAGGCACATTAAGGTTCATTACATTTCTTATTCTATACATTTTGCTCATTAGTTTTAAGTGAAGTTTCACAGGAAACAAGGCAACAGTACTAAACCCTACAGGATTTTTACTGACTGCTAAAAGCAGCCACCTTTGCTGGCTAATGCAAGGTTCAGATCTCCACTCAAATACAAAAACCCTTTTTGAAAGAAAGGGGCAGGCACATTTAAATCATCTTGATATACTAATTTACAAATAAATAAACAAATATAAAGTCTCAATTATTTTTTATTCAATGTTTCTTTTGCGAAAAAATGAAATTATTTCAATGCTTAATGTGTTTAATGGTCCATTTAAAAATGAATAATATATTGATTAATACACTATACAAGCTCATTTGGCAGTAACGTTGAGAAAGTTCAAGTCCAAGTCTCAGGCTCCACAGTTGAATGAGACCGCTGTCACAACAGATGTTTTGTTCCTCATACACACTTCTACCTACACTTAGAAGACATTTTTCTTGCAAAAGTAGGAGAACATTCTTTTTAAGATGGCTGCAAGATGCTGGACTGGGCAGCATCAGTGCTCTATAAAGAAGAATAACAAACTTTGTATTATGAGCCTTTTACTACAAATGTTTATTAGTAGATTATTTTATTTTTTTAAAATAGCAATGCATTGAAAATCAAAACATTATACAAAGAAATGTGATATGTTTAAGCAAATTTCACACATTGCAAATATTAGGCTACCTCAACTTCCAAAGCACACACCTGATCAATTTCCTTATCAGTTAATTCCTTTTCAGGTTTCTCAAATGGTATAGCCGTGTTCCAAAGGGCATCAAAATGGCCTACAAATTTCTCCACTATTACTTTATCACTCGTAATAACAGCATCCTCTGAATTTCCTGTTATAGCTTGCATAGTCCAATTGAAAGAGCAGTTAACCAGGGTCTCTCTATCAACCATGAAGAACTTGTGATGCATTTCCCGCCCACTTTGAATAATGCGAATCGGAATACCTGAAACCAAAATGAAATGAGTGGTGAAAAATTCATTGAGGGAATTTGTTGATCTTCATTCTCTCATCGTCTGGGTGCAAAAATTAGCTGCATCATTAGCTGTGAAAGACAAATGTTGATTAACTGGTATTTATTTACAGAAGTTGTTATTTATGCAAAGGAGAAATTTGACTGTTGTGCTGCTCTAGCCCCTACCATACCTTCCTCTCCTCCACGTGACTAGTTCAGCGGTTAATACTTTCTCGTTACAGAGTAGAGCTGCTCGAAAAAAGAAGAATTTTCAACTGAAAAACTCTTATTGCCGGGTCCTGGTAACAAAAAATTGCGCAAATCCACCTGCAAAATATAGAAAAAACTCTAACACATGGTGTAGCCAGAATCCATGTTTTGTGGGTACTTGATTATAAAAAAATCTATTGACGACAAAACATCTGTCCGTCTGTGAACAACGCTAGCAGCTAAACTGTTCAACCAATTTTCTCTAAAATTGACATTCCCCAATCGATCTGGCTGATGACACAGCCTCTTGAATTTGAAACTGATATTTTGATTTTGTACTTTACATGAAGTCTATGAGACATTTTCAAAAAAAGTCTTGATCATTTGGATTAAATTTTGCTATTAGATAGTGTGAAGGATGGTTAAGTGAATGACACAGGACTCACAATCATTAAAAATTCATTTTTCGAAAATTGCAAAAATTCAAAAAATTCCGGCTTCTTCCTAAAACTATAATTATAAAGATAGAGACTTTTCCCTTTATAAAATCTGTTCCTAAAAGATAATTTAAAATAAGGTCATATATAATTTTTCAAAATCTGAGTACTTTTCGCGTAATTTTGCGTGAAAAAATTGCGTGGTTCCCCTGATTGAAATCAATTTTTTTTTTCTAGTTCTGACTCGAATCAACATGCAATAGATATAACACAATAATGAAAAACACTTCACAGATAGTATTAAATGCATAATATTAAATGCAAGGAAGCACTTCACTAATAATATGTACAATATAGGGTGTGAATAAGGGTTAAGGATTTATGTTCAAACCAGTAGCGTAGCATGATCATTTTTCCTGGCTAGGCTCCAAAGCAAATTAAAATATTATTTAACACTCCTGCCATCATTAACAAAGAGATGTTATTCACTCATTTACCTGGTGGATACTAAAAGTCTATGGTCACTGAATTTTGCTGTTACCATAAATCAAAGGAGAAAAAAATAGTTCTTTACAAATTGGCGCCAATTTATTGTTGGGGATAGTAATAAAGTATCTATGAGATTGTCGTCTGACGAAGCCATATTTCTTACAGTAAACAATAACACCTGTATTTGTTGATTTCAACTAAAAACGATGAGCTAACATTATTTTCTCACCTGTCAGACACAAAGAAGTGATATTTTCTTAAATTCTTGCGGCAGCTCATTTCACTAGATTTCACATAAGCATATACATTTCGCATAAGCTCATCCCACAATGATATAGAATAAGCACAATATTTCAGTGTTTTATTCAGTACTGCAAGAACTCAACTGAGATCTTATTCTTTGACCATGTACGTACACATTGCATGTAGAGAGATGCGAAGGGTGACGAACGGTCAAGCTGCACATCTGAACACCATACCAGAACAGCCCGGGCAGAGATCAAGTGGTGAGGGGCCCACAGCGCCCTTGCTTCACCACACTCTCAGGGCCAGGACAGTGGTCCACATTGGTGTTGAAAAAACATTTATTTCACATTTATCCCACAAAAATAATAAAAAAATGTAGAAAAAATGGGTGGGCAACAGGTTTATTATAATTACCAATTGATTTACTATGAGATTCTACTTCAAAAGCGTGAATTAAAAGAATTGCATGTAAACAGTACCAATTGTCATAAATAGTACCGCAGGTCCACTGTTTTCTGAAATCTCTTTTAGCGTCTGTGGGGTGTGTTGTGCAAGTGAGAGTTGTGTGAAGTGAGAGTGGTGTGTGTGTGTGTGTGTGTGTGTGGTGTGTGTGGTGTGGTGTGTGTGGTGGTGGTGTGTGTGGATGTGTGTGTGTGTGGTGTGTGGTGTATGTGCGTGTGGTGGTGTGGTTGGTGTGTGTGTGTCTGGTGTGTGTGTTGTGTCGTGTGTGTGTGTGGTGTGTGTTTATGTCTTGTGTGGTGGTGTGATTGTGTTGGTGTTGTGTGTGTATGGTTGTGTGGTGTGTGTGTGTGTGTGTCTGTGTATGTGTGTGTGTGTGTGTCGCTGATGTGTGTGTGTTGTGGGGTGGTTTTTTGGTTTTGGGATGTGGTGTGTGTGGTCGTTGGTTGATTGTGGTGTTTTGTGTGTGGTGTTTTGTTGTGGTGTGTGGAAATGTGGTGTGTGAGCTGTCGGTGTGTGTGGTGTGTGTGTGGTGTGTGTGTGTGGCCTTAGTGTGTGTGTGTGTGGTTGTGTGTGGTGTGTGTGTGGTTGTGAGGTGGGTGTTGGTGTGGTTGTGGTGTGTGTGTGTGTGTGGGTGGGTGTGAGAGCGAGAGAGTGTCTTGCCATGGGAGTGCCTGCCATTGGCCACAACTGATCTCGAGGATTACCAAGGGCTGCATAGGCAAGCCTTTGGGGCTACCAGGCGGCCCGTATTCACAGAATATCTGCGTCTCTCGAGCACATTTACTGCACGTGTTTAAGGTTCCGAAAGGCCAGAGCCTTCATTCTCTCTTGCATAAGTTCACAATTGAGCCGAAAGTGCAAGATACGAAACCTACAAACCCAGACCAATCATATGATTATTAATTTGAAAATGATCAATAAATACATTATAAAGTGATGATTTAAAAAAAAAAATTAAAAACAGTTTTTGCTTTTCACAAAATATAGTATAGGTAGGCTCTGTCTTGGAGCCTAATAGGATGCTACACCACTGGTCGAAACCTTGTAACTCCAATCTGTTACCTCAACTGGTCTTAAAATATAAATGTATTACCTCCTGAGGCCAGGTACATAATCTGGGAACCAGTTCCCTTTATTCTGTAACCATCAGTAATAAGTCTCACTTTTACACCCTGTTTATGAATATCCACAATACACAGGGCAAAATCATAACTTGTCACACTATAAATGCAGATATCAAGGGAGTGTTTTGCTTTATCCATGACTCCTAGAATCTTCCTGCAACAAAAAAGTTAGATATTTCATTAAAATGATAAGCCAATTCAATAGAATACTCTAAAAAAATGCTATAGTGTTAGCAGTAAGATAAAATCCAGCATATCTTTTCAACTCAGTTCTCAGAGGAAAGGTTGTACGACGTCGAGGACTTCCCGGAAACATTATCCAAAACAAAGCATCAAGCTTAAAAAATCAGCACAGAGTAAACATGTCCAAAACCAATACATCATTCCTAATCATAAATTCCTCCGATTTAAAATTGTAAAATACATTGAATGAGTAAATATTTTAATACAATTTTTTTAAGTAATCAAAAGAAATGAGATCATATTCCCTTATTTTAAAATTTTTTAGGTCATTTTCTTCTTATTTTTAAATCCTTTTACAGGTCATTTTTAAAGAATTTTTCATCCGAGCCCTGCACATAATCATTATCCTTACAGAGGAACACTATCCTTTTTTAACACAATCAAATCACAATGTTTTTAAAATATTTTTTCATATAATAATTGTAACACATTTCACATATTTATACAAATGCTGCTTCATGTTTACTGTAAAATCTTATGGAAGCAATAAAATACTATATTGGATATGAAAACTTTTTTCTTTTTCAATTTTTCTAAATAATCACTAGAAAGCACAAGACTCAAGCAAAGAAAGTTGCCTCAAAATATGAAGACAATAAAATTGAAAATTTTTGTGAAGTTTAATATTCTGTATAACTTTGGGTCAGCAATCCATATTATAACTGTAATCCATGAGCAATTTCGATGGTCATGTCATGTTGGTTCAAAATTCAACTCTTGAACAAGTTATAAAAGTTGAGATCATAACATAGAGGACCAGTCATTAGAACAATTGAAAGGTCAGGGGAAAGGTATCTTCCTATCATGATTAACATATTACAAATATTAACCTAAACATGGTTGCAGACATATTAATTGAAAGTAACTTCTCAGAGAACTATACAGAAGTTCTTAAAAAAGAGTGAATCAAATTATGACTGTTTCCTCTAATGTTCACCAGAGGAGACCAATGAGTGTTTACTTAATCAACCATAACGAATAATATTATCATTTAATCCTACGATTGACAGTACATTCAAGAAAACTAGCTGAAAATTGAACTCTTATATAGGAATTTGATAAAAGATAAGTAAAAAACAGGACTGGATTAGAAATGAGAAAGATATTGCTCCTCCTCAGAAACAAAAAACACCATCCTTGGACTGCCCTGTTAAGTAAATAGGACAAATCTGAAGGGTTTAAAGATTAAAATCAATGACCATGAACACAATGTAAAAGAAACCAGAACAAGATGAAACTTGATATCCTTGAATTTATTACATTAAAGAATCTGCAGATTTGGAGCAAAGAATCCAGGAAGAACCTTGATCAACTCAAAAACACTGCATATAAAAGTAAATTAAACTATCACTTCATTACAAGAGATGAATTTATTTACAAACCTGTACAATAATATACACATAAAAATAAAGAACTCAAAATCATCATTAATGGAAGGTTTGATCTCATTTAGCATTTTTAATATTGTCCATTTGCTCCTTTTATGATCCTGTTTATTCCTCTCCCCTTCGTATTGTACCCTCCTCACTTCATCCCCTGATCACCTACGTGCAATCTCAAAATGATTTGAGCTCATTCATAAGTTGAGGTTTGAACCAACATGATGCGAGCACTTGATTGCTCATGGATTAGAGTTATAATGTGGATTTTGTTTTCACACATGTGACTGAAAATTTTTATCAGCTTAATATTCTATACCTTTGTCTTCTTATTGCAAAGGTATCTTTCTCTACTCAACGCTTGTATTTGCAAGCAATTTAGAAACAGAAAAAAAAGTTTTTTATTTTAAAAAATTATTTTAAATAATGTTCTGTAATTCCAATATAGTATTTCACTACTTCCATAATATTCAACAGTACACGCAGTGAAGCATAAGTATAAACATGCTAAAGGCTGATGTTTCAATTATTATATAAATAAATACTTTTCCTTATTTGGTGCCATTGTAGGGTTTCTAGAATATAATACGCAATCAATTATAATTTTCTACAATTAATATTATTTATTTCATTTGGGTTTCTTTGGAATTTTTCAGAGCAAAGATAGCCTCATCATCATGCAGTTAACAGTACAATACAAAAATTAGCATAGAACATTCGAAATTCTAAAATTTTTCATGGTAAACATATGGTGATCTTAATATGATCATATGGTGATAATATTATTGTATTGTCAGCCCTTTAAAATAAATTAAAATGTAATTAAATTTGTTTCGAGAAAAATTACACATGTAACACACAAAAGGGTTTCAAAACTTAATTAAAAAAATAAAGTAGAAAATATTGTAGACTAGCCCATGATAATGGTGAATTGCAGTTCAAAATTCCAATCAAAAATCACTAATACCACACAAAAAAGGTTTCGTTCATACCTAATTAATAAAACAAATAAAATTACTAGCAGCAGTAGTAGAAGTTGTAGCAATTTGCTGAATGACACTGCACAAGGGCAGACTGTAAACTCCCAAAACTTCATACTCCCCTGTCTCTGGCCGAAGGGATAAAAGGCACCAACTGCAATGCGACAATACTTGACAAAAATAATAACGGAGGATTACTCCATATCAGCGTTCAACATCCAAACAAGGGTTCAGAGAGGAGTTGCTCAACAGAGACGCAACAAATTAATAAAAACAAATAAAATGAAACAACGATTCAATAATGATTGAAGTTGGATATCAGAAATTCATCAATAATAATATTGTTTTACACTTCAAAATCCTATCATCCAGAGATTAACATTACTTATTGGGCTGTAGGTACCTGTTAAACAGTAAATTTGTTGTTTTCAACTATGCTGTTCATTGTTTTATTAAATCTAACATTTTAGAATCAATAAGGCTATGTAACAAAATTCTAGAATGAGAATATATGTACAATTCCCATTTTGTTTCTGAGACAAACATTAAATTAAACAAAAAAATGAACAGCACAGCTGAAAGTAACAATTTTTGCAATTTTTATAACAACATTTCAAACAAAATCCAATCCAATTAGTATTATCACAAAAACGAATCCCCTCTCCTGTCTCATTCTCCAATTTCCCCCACCATTCCCTCAATTTGCTATCCTTTGAATTCCTTCTCGCCTAATTGGCAGAACTCTGTGATGCTGCTACGATTGTTACACAGCCTCCAACAAGTACAGTTAATTTCTGTGCCTGATGGAAATTTGAAGAGATAAACAATAATAGTATGGGGGCATCTCCCATATCTTCTTAATTTTATTAATTGTTGTTGGTTTTAGAGAAAATTATATTTTTTTACCTATTATATACAAGGAAACTTATAATTCTGAACAGTGGTTTGAATAACAGAAGGATTCAGCATCCCTAATATACAAATTATGAATCCTACATTTTTTAGAATAACTGATGAATATTACACTTTGTGAAAGGTACCAGCACCTAAAGCAGACAGGTTACAGGAAAAATTACTTATAACTCGCTGGTGAAGTCAAAATATTTACAAGAATCATTGTTTTCAGAAATACTTGGATTCTTTAGGAGTTTAAACATCATCATCCATAAAAAATAATTTAATTTTCCAAGACACTTTCTTCTTAGAAAAGAGAATTCAATACTGTGCTAAGTCACATAATCTTGACAAGTTGATTGTTACTGGTTTCTAAAGCTGATGTGTAAGAAACCTATGATGTCATAAACAAAAAAACACAAATTAATTTAAGTAAATGATTATTTTTAATAATTCTGATTAAATGCAATGTTAAACAAAACGCATATCAGATCAGTTCAGGTATAAAAAGGTGTTAGGGTGTCACACAGTAACTACTTTTTACATCAAGTTTTGCTAAATACCTATCTGACCAAACTCCTTTGCTGCTGCATTATAACTTCCCTACTCTATTTACAGTACCAATAGCTTTCACCAGTAAGTCATTGTCGTAAGCCTGCTTGAGAACTTTGTGCAGTGCCTTATTACCTACATTTGCAGTAAGGGCACATTAAATAAAATATTGTTAGAAACTGACTTTCTGGAACCTAAGGTTGACGCACAATGTAAACACTAGGTTCTCAACTACTTGGACTATTGATTTTAATACCCCCTATTTATGCATTTTTTTTCTGCATATTAACACAATTTAAAGGGTCCAAAATTATAATCAGAACCTAACATTCACCTCACTGTCATCCTTAGGTACTAAGAAGTTTTTGAGAATCTAAACTTAACAACCCCCCTAATATTGAAGATCTAGACTCAAGTGAGGTTATAAGCACATGGTACACTTTTTCATTTTTTCCTTTTTAACATCCCCGCATCTCAATATCACAATTGAAACTCATTTCATGTTATTGACAAAAGAACAAAAACAAATTTCTTAAGAAATTCTCAAGGATTTCAATGGATTAAGTTGCTCAAGTACTATCACGCAGCAAGTCACTTCAACCTAAGGTCTGGACTATTACTGTTATCTCTTTGCGAACAACCCTGAATATTCAAATGCTTATTTCATGCACAATTATCCTTACATGTCAGCAACAGGTAACTTGTCCACAGTCAGCACCATTACCTTTCAAATTTCATTACCTTCTTGCATTATAATTTAATTTTATCCTGAACATTTAAGATCATGAAATGAACAAGTGAACACTGTTTAACATCTGGATTTGTATTAATTTCATGATACAATTATTATTTCAGTTTGGTTGTCTGATTTGTTTGCAGTTATAACATTAAATTATGAAATAAACAATTTGCTAATAGAAATATGGACATTCGTATTAAATTATTGAATTTATTCTGGTCATTTCAGTACTTAAACAGAACATTCATGTATATTAGACAATTATGTTTTTGGAAATTTTCTAACGGATGTTTTGCATTAGACCTCACAACCACTATTTATGTATCAAGATAAGAAAACATTTCAAACCTCATTTAAGAGCAGGAAGGTGAAATAAAAGGAAATACAATAATTAGCTCACTAATATAATCTAATGGCAAGTAGCTAAACCTGGGGAGTACATAGGCTAGAGAATTCTTCACAAATGTTTATCATTCGAATTTTAAAACTAGTCACATAGCAATTAATCATACAATAGAATTCAACAATTTTCATACAATATTATTCTGATAAAAAATTACATATAAAATAACATGCAGCAAAAATTACATTTTCGTATTAACTGTAACATGAACTAACCTTAGCCTAGAATAAGAACATTTTTGGCCGCAAGGTTTTCGCATGGTAATATGTGACCAACAGTTGTAGTCTCTCTCTGTGAAGAAAACAGTATCAACCTCACTCTCGTCCCTCGGTTCTCGAAGAAAATACATTGTGATGCTATGTACGCAGTATTCTAGAAATGCGGCGTAGAGCAACCACCCAATTCCTTTCGCGGAAAACATACAAACTTTTTTAAATGTTTCTGAGTTGATCATATCTGACAATTACTAGTACAAGTTACTGTCACATCCAAGTACTTTTACGTGGGAGCTGGATCCTGACAAGTAGTCATATTCGCCGCCTGCTCGAGTTAGTTCAGCATGTAGTTCAGCTTCAGCTCGACAGTCGACACTGGAGCACAGAGAGTATAGCTGGAGCAGCCGTAGCAGCTCGGAGGATTGATATTTTGGCGCGCGAGGTGTCGTATGATCGCAACCGGTATACTCTGCGACTCTCTGGCAACTGCTGGCGACCGTATCGAGCAGTGCTGGTGATCATGCGAAAATTTGCGGCACGACTGAGAAAGATGGAAAATACCGTGAGATATATCATCGTGAAGACAAAGCCTCGCGCGCCAAGAATGATGGAAATTCGCACATATCGTGAAATTACTTTTCGGCGGCATACATGGTAATAGATTTGGTCTGTTTAGTGCAATTTATTACGTGATAACGCTCACACTGTCTTTCGCATTCACTACATATACATTGGTTCGTGGAAACTCTTTGTCTGATATATCCGGTGGTGGAGCCCGTGCAATTCCAGGCGCGTAATCATATGCCTTTGCTTATATGCCGCTTCTGTCCATTCTCTATTGATCATCGCATTAGTGCAGTAGATATCTGACCATATTTCTTCCTGCCTCTTTTTTCGTTTATTCAGCACTTCTCTTAGCGCGTTTGTGTTGGGTAGCAGCAATTGAAGTCTTACATCTTCCGATAGGAAAGTTTCTTTTACCATTACGTGCGCCAGTCTTGACCGCGCATACTTGGAAATTCCTATTGCTTTTTTTATTTCTTTTATTTTTTTAATGAAAGTTGCTTTTAGATTTCCAACTGCTTGACTGTGAGGTAATTTCATATTATTTCTAAATCGTATGTCTCTACAGGAAGTACTTTGTGGGTAAAGATTTTCATGGCTGTTTCTATTGACAACTGATTGAGATACGAAATGTCGTTTATACTTCTTGTTGCTGCTATTAATTTCTGCTTTAGATGTACCGTGAATGTTGTTCCTGTAGTTTGCGGAGTAATTCCTGGGTAGTTAGGTGAGCTTGCTGCTCTTAGTTGAGCCCCATTGCACATTATTATGTCGTTTCTTTTCGCTCTTCCGCCTCTCCGAAATATTGTCATTTCTGTTTTAGTATTTATTTGTAGCTCATTTGCAGTTGCCCATTTACTTAGCGCGTCAATTCCCTTTTGTAATTCTTCGCACTCTGTTGAGACTACTGCTACGTTGTCAGCATAAATTAGTATTTCCACTAGTGTTTCTTTTTCCGCGGCTGGCGTTAGATCATACATGAGTACGTAAAATAATAGAGCACTTAGCAGATATTGCTGTACGTTGGTAAATTTTCTCTAATATTGTTACATTATCACAAATTTGGATATAATTTTCAGTTAGGATATTGAACGTTATCCTCGATAGCCAATTTCGCGCTACGACATTGAGCAACTTGTTCTCAATGATTTGCCTATTTACATTATCGACATAATTTACATTTTTACAAGCTTTGCAGAAATCAGCAAATACTACGTATAATTACTTGTGTTGTTCATTTACACTGTCATTTATACAATTAATTAGACATCCTACTGCCATGTGTGTTATTCTTTTATGCCTAAATCCAAATTGCTCTTCTGCTAAATCTATCTTTGCATTTAATCCTTTTGCTATCAGTGCTGTTAAAATTTTGAATCACGTGTTTTCAAGGGCTATTCCGCGGTTCGCTTTTGGTGAAGCTGCGTCTCCTTCGCCTTTATAAAGTGGCTTCAGAGTTGCCATGCGCCATTCTGATGTATTTCTCCGCTTTGCTTTCATGCATTGAATTGTTCACTTCAAGATTCCTCTAGGAGCGGTAGTGATTGTTTTAGGTACTCTACAAGCTGCTGAGTCCAGAGTTGTTTTTTGTATCCTCTATCACTTCTTTGACAGTTAATATTTCACATGGTTCCCATATTCCACTCGTTTTGTTTTTCTTCTTTTTTTTCTGTTTTTTTTTTCTCTCTTTTTTTTCGGTATTCTCTCTTTGTGGCTTACGATGTTCCTAATATGTTCCTCCCGTATATTAATTGGGAAGTCTGCTAGGAATCTGGGATTTTTCGTGCGTAGTATGCAATGAGGATTAGCCTTAGTTTCTTGTATAATGTTGTATGCATCCTTCTCCATGTGTTCCGTTTTCTTCTGATTTAGTAGTATTTTATATTCCTTCTTTCTTCATCTGTATTCTTGTAAATGTTCACCCTTTGAGAATGTCTTTATCTTCCTTTGGCTCTCCAATGCTCTTTTTTCTTGCCTCATAGCATTCTTTGTTACACCAAACTTTTGCTCGTCTTCTTGCGGGGAACCGCGGCAGTTTCTGTTGTCTCTCGGATCAGGTTCATTGCATTTGCTAGGTTCATGTTTTGCGATTCTTTTTCGATTGCTGGTAGTCTGTCTTTCTGTCTGGTCAGTTCTTCTTGATCAAGTGTTCTTTTCTTAGGTTAATTTCTTCTGCTTGTTTGCCTTGTGGTTTCCTTCAACTGTAGTGTCGTCAGTGAAGGTGTGTTTTCTTAGCAGTGTTGCATTTGGTTCCCACCCTTGCTGTTGTTTTGTGGTTTCGAACCCTCGCACAAAGGTTACATCTATTGCACTGGGCTACATATGTTTTCATTTGTCCGCTGTTTATTAGAGTCAGTCCTTCTTGCGTTAAGAACTGCACCACAGTGCTGGTCCTCGGGTTGTCTACATCGACTCTGCAATTTAGGTCTCCAGAGATCACTACATTTTCTTTCCTGTTTATTTTATTTCGTGCTTCGGATAACCTTTCTATTATGTCTATTGCTGTGAATTCAGGATTGAAGTATGTACATATGATAGTGATTCTCTTAGCTTTGATGGCTATTACATTTCTATAGATGATGGCGAACGGGGCAAGTTTTGGATGTAGTAAGCGCATTATTCTTCCAATAATTTCGCAGAATTATATTTGTGATAAAATTAAAATTTATCATAATTGTTGTGAGAATTATTTGGAGGTGTGGGCTGCACATAACAATAAGATTGAAAACAATTTTTGAATGACTGGAGGCCTGGACGAGATAATTTCTTACAAGCCTTTCACGCACCATTGTGGATGATGGGTAGGCTCCGAGTCTTCTGCGCCAATTTAATTGGATTCTAGAATATACTATAGACCAGGTTTGAATACTTTCTTCGTAATCTAAAAGATTCAATCAATAAACTATTGTTGCGGCACATGATTTGCGGGAATAATTTAATATAAAATAAGAGTCATATTTCGTAATTTTCTTGACAGAAAACGCAACTTAAGGCAAGGCGCAGTTTCTTTGTGAGCCAAGTGTGCAGCTGCAAGCTCGGTAGGGCCAGCCCACAACCCCCCCGGCCTCTAGAGACTGCGAACGGGGCCGTCCGGGCACTAGCCCACACCCCCTCGACCCTCTGGCAAGGGTGTTAACATTACGACGCAGGGAAATCCCGGCGGCGACGGCTTGGAATAATTACCACAATCAGACGCGTTGTTTCTTAAGCGCAGCTGAAAGCTCGCCGATCGCATCAGCCACCATGGGCGAGAGAGAGCGTTGTACCTGGAACATTCGAGACTTTGACCGTGATTGGCTGAGAAAATAATACTGCGCAATTGATTTCAGCCTCATACAGTGCGTAGTTTGTAGAGTGAGGAGACCTTTGGGATTTAGAGAAGCCTAGAAGGAGTTGGCAGAGAGACAGACAGGAGAGGAGCTTGGGGTACTGAGCCGAACGGATCGCGGAGCTATAGGCCGCATCGGTGTGCTGCGATTCATTTTTAATTTAATCGGACTTGTTAAAAAAACGGATTAGATGTGAACGTGGAACTAGGGATAGCGTTCTTGTGTAGCGACTTGTTGTGTTTTGCCAAAATTAAGGCGGATAGATGAGAAACATTAGGAACGCGGAACAGATATTCGCTTGCCAGTGTGTTGTAAATTTGGACAGACTTAACAGAGTTTTGATAGCCAAACGCTCGAGTGGTGCGTACCGGTGAACTTTGTCTAGGAGGTTCGCTGTATTAAGTCGTTCATGAAAGGTTCCGTGAACTTTCAAAACCTGCCTCTTCGGTTAAGGACGAATTATTGAAAAGTGAAAACACGACCACATCGAACCACCCAAGTTGCCACCCGTACCAGCCCGACCGCCCGGCCGAGGAAGAGGGGGAGTGGGGGCGCCGGCCCTGACTCGCATCCCCCGCTTTCACGGTGGGAACTCGCTGGTGGAGGTGGACCTCAGGGCGCCCGGACACCCATCAATGGAACGCGCTGCGGGGGAAGGGTACGGCAACGTTGTTGCTGTTTAAACCACTCAAAGATTTAAGCATAATGCTCTCCAAGCATACATGAATGGCACTTGAATGACCCTGAATGAACAGGAAGATTTCTAATTGTAATTTTAAGTGACGCGGTGTGGCCGCGCTTTGGCCTTTTAAATTCATAATAAAAATGGAATTAAATATAAGGGGGTTTGAGAGGTAATGAACTCATTAGAGGGGAATAATTTGTGTATGCAAATAGAGAAAATTAATGTTAACTTTTGTTTTGATTCTTACAACACTTCCTTCCATCCAACCAAAATAGAACATTGTGTCAAAATTATGTCAGAGATATCAAAAAACACCCTTGACACAATATCATAATAAAAATAAAATTTCATTTATTGTAACAATATGCACTTATTTAATTTGTAATATGTTAATGTTTTAATATAAGAGTGAATAAAAGGTATTTTTTCAGTAAATGTGGAAGATATTAACAATAAATATCAGCATTACGTAACACTAAACTTTGACCCCCTTCCCCTATGTAACGCTGCCTAAAATTCCCTCCCACTGTTCAGCGTTACTTAATTTATAAATGGCCCCT